CACTATATTAGACAATGGGGATACAGAGATAAGCAAAACATGGCCCAACTGTGGAAGTTCAAAGTGTGGTGGAGGAGACAGACGTGGAAACAAATGACTGCCGACAGTAGACAGTGGTACGGAAAACTTAGACTCAGCTCAGGGTGGAAGAGACCTCAGCAGAGGCGCAGCATTTGATCTGAGTTTTGAAGAAAAGAAAAGCTACCATCTCTCCTGGGCTATCGCAGTAGCTTCCTAAATGATACTACTTCTACCATTGCTACCTTCTGATCTAGTCTTCACATAACATCCAAAGTGATTTTTAAAAAACACATAATACCATTCTCTTGCTTCACATCCTCCAATAGCATCCCACCGCACTCAGAGGAAAACCCAGGCTCCCCGTCAGGGCCTGAAGACTCTCTGTAACCTAGCCCCGGCCTGCCTGTCTGCATCGTCCTGCCCACCCCCCCCCACCCCCCCACCCCCGCTTCCCACCTTCACTGACCTCCCTGTCCGTAAACACCACGTCACTGCTTCCGGGGAGCCTCCGTGAGCCGCTCCCTGCCTGAAACGCTGTGCTCACAGATCTTCGGAGCTCTTCCAAGATCCCTTTCCCAACCTTCTAGTCAAAAGGAGCGTCTGCCTTTCCTAAATTGCTACTGCATCACCCCATTTCATTTTCTCAAAGCATTTACTAGAATCTAAAACTGCCTTGTATGGATGCTTATTTACCCATTTGCTGACTATATCTATCACTAAAATGGAAGCTCCCTGTGAGCAGAAACGGCATCTGTCTTGTTCCCTTGGATAACAGAATAGTAGAATGCCCACCACCAAGGTTAGATGACTGTTCCAATCCACCTACCTGACAGCCTGAGTCAGCTTTTTTTTAGGTGCAGTTCACCCATCCGGTGAGCAGAGTTTAAAACACTGATTATCTTGAGTGATATCTCCTAACACACTATCCCTACTTTACTGCTATAACCACATTCTGAATCCAAAGAAGGAGACGTTTGTGACAGACTAGGTGTTTCCCAGCACCCAGAGACAGGCACCAGATGTCTGAAAGATAAAAAAAGGTACAGTACAGAGGAAGCAACTTCCTCAGGAAGCCGTGAGGAGGCCTCGGGCCCTCAGGCAGAACATCAGCCACTGAAGACTGCAGCAGTGACACCATGAGACCAGCACTGCGAAGGGGCCGGCCCACTGCTGGCTGGCACTGCAGCCCTAGGAATTACAAGAGGCCCTGGACACACCAATAGGAAACACTAAGTGCTTATGATGTCATCAATTTATGATTTCTAATTTCATTTCTCTCTTCTGGGAGTTCTGACTTACCCGTTATGTTGGCAAGTGCAAGAACTAGTAGTGACTATGCGACCATGATCAGTATCTTCGGTTTGGGGTAAGAGCTTGAGAGATCAAGAGAGCCAAGCCAATGAGAGCTAACTGGGCCGTTTCTGTTACAAATGTCTTTATCCAAAGGATTATATGAACTAAAATGCAGATGTGGCATATTACAAAGAAGTTACAAAATCCATTATAGGTAAGGCTCTTGAGTAAAATTTAAATGTAATCGTACAATTATGTAGATCCAAAAACAGAATGATACCAAGTGTGATTAAGTGTGTAAGTGCTACAATGACGTGTGATTTCCGCCATTACTGTTCACCGCCAGCGAACAGACACCCTGGGATAAGAAATCAGAAAGCACTGTTCATGCTAACAAGGCATGCTACCCCGGCCTTTCTCGCACTGATTGCTTCTCAGCCAAGCTTTTATTCATTCAACACTTAAGGAGATGCTACCATTGTGCTAGGCACAAGAGAAAAGAAGCCCCTGTAATACATGCCTCAAAGAATTTATAACCTAGCAGGGCAGGAAAAAGCGTATTTCCTGAAGCTATAAAATAAGGTAGTCTCAACCAAAGCTTAAAGGATGGACAAGCGGCCCTCCAGATGAACATTCGGGACTCTTTCCCGAAGAAGATGGGTGGACCCTGGCATAGACAGAGACCCCCACAGACAGAACAGCATAAGTAAAGAGGTGCAGAGAGGAGAGCGTGTACTCAAGGAACAATATTATAGTCGGGGGCACAGAAAGATAACTATCTCTTCAATTAGACGTTAACTCAAAGACAGAACTTTTCTTCTCTCTCCCATATTACCTAAGACCCAATTCTCTATATGTGGTAGGCTCTAAGTCATGTTTATTCAATAAATCCAGAGAGAAAAAAGTGAAATCTTTTCAATTTACTTCGATGTTGCTGCTGTTATTTGTGTTATTGGGTTTTCCTAATAATTTGAATCATGGTAGAAATCCTTGGTTATGGGCAGATACTTGTATTATCTCACTAACAATATGGGAGCATTTAAACAAAGTACACGTGGCCAAAAGTGGGTAGGAGTAGAACGTGTGTGTGTGTGTGTGTGTGTGTGTGTGTGAATCTTCTAATTTGAAAACTTTGAGAAAGTTGTTGGGCCCACTACCTTGTGGATGTTAAAAAAAAAAAAAAATGAGTACACTGATCTACAAATCAATTCTACTATGCTATAATCCCAAAATGCAGAGCTAATACTCTTGTAATATAATTCCAAAAAGCTATCAGTACCTAGAAACAGTCTTGTTTTATATTTTCACTTCTAGAAATATATCCAGTGATCATCTAAACATTATTTTTAAATGACCATGATGGAGTTGCAGCATGGTATTGTGTAAGAAAAACCACACTGGCCCGGGCCGGTTTGGCTCAGTGGTTAGAGCATTGTGTCTGTGGTCCAGAGAGACCCGGGTTCGGTTCCCGCTAAGGTCATGTATCTCGGTTGCAGTTTGTCCCCGGCCCTGGTTGGGTCGTGCAGATGACAACCACTCGATGTGTCCCTTTCACGTCGATGTTTCTCTCTCTCTCTCTCTCTCTCTCTCTCCCCTCCTCCCCTTCCACTCTATATGAACAGAAAAAATAAAAGAAAAGAAAAGAAAAGAAAAGAAAAGAAAAGAAAAGAAAAGAAAAGAAAAGAAAAGAAAAGAAAAGAAAAGAAAAACCACTGCGTTAGGAGTTGAGACCTAATTCTGCTCTGCCACTGACTGGTGTTAAAAATGCAGACAAGGAGCTGACCCTTCCTGGGCTTCCCACGGTGAGAAGGGTGAAGAGAGGCTTACAATGAAAGGAGAGCTCAGTCTGTGCAGGTGGCCACACACCTGATCTGCTCAGATGCTCTTCTGACATCAACCTGCCCCACGCTCACTGCACTGACATGGGAGGTGTAAGGGGTGCTACTAAAGGTAGCTCTTCTTCATGACTTTTACCAACTTTTTGGTTAGTGACATCTAAGGGAACTTCAGATTCCAAAATGTCCCCTGGTTCTACTTTATAATGCCATCTTTAGGTTTGAGGACAGTCTTGAGAAAAGCATCTTCTAAGTGAATCTAGCAACATGCAGGTCCCAAAGACCATTTTAAAAGCACTAGCCATTAGCAAAATATAATTAGCAAACAATTCAAGATTAGAATATATATATAAAACTAGCCATCACAGGTCCCTTACAAGTCATATATAAATACTTCTATGTATGTACACATATGCTTCTACACACACGGAGTCTAAGGATTACTACAAAGACAAAAGGACAGGCACTGTGAACCTTAACCAGTGATCCAAAGTAAACTACTTTAAACACAGCAGCACCTGTAGTTACATGCTTCAAACTCACATTAATGTGAATTTCACCCTTGCATTTTTATCAAGAACACATGTCTAGTGGACACATTTTTTTGATTCCTGCGTACTAACACTTAGAGATTTAGTAGGTAAGACATGTCTGTTCTTCACAGCATCTAGGGTTCTTCCCCGATGCAGATATCTGATTCTCTTCAGTGTTCAGATATTTTCTTTTTATAATTATATATTATTTATAAAATATATACCCATGCATCCTCATATAGTCAGACTAATATTCATATACCCACAGAAACCTACTCTAAGTAAACATCCAAGGAGACATATACCTAATATGGGTAGGAGAGAAGGAGAGGGAGGTCATTTAATTTATGAACAATTATGTTTATAAACCATTAAGCCACTCAAACCTAACCACAATAGACAAAAACTTAACCATTAAAATATAATATATTTTTAGTTTATTGTATATTTTGATTTGAGTTATTTTCCCCTCTATTCTAGTCCACCTCTGCCCACAATAGCAACCAGATTACATGTAGGCTTGCTTTCAGCTCTTCGTACCTATGATCTACAAATTAAAGATCTATGATGATTAACACACTGTCTTGTCAGCATGAACTAAAAACAAGCAGAATAGTCCTCAAATAAGATCTGTTTTTGTACAAGTGAGGCCAAAGAAAAACAAACATTGGGTGTCTTAATGTACCAAGTGTGAATGAGTCTGTAATGCAATGCTGATGTTAATGTGTAAGGACATAGGTAAAGTAAGCAGCTTACTAGAATGTATAAAGAGAAATGTCACTTGAGGAACCAGAGCTCAATGTGACTCAAAAGTAAATTCTGTCTGCTGATGAGCTGCTCGTTGACCTTGGCTTATGACCACCAATCAAGGCTTCCTGTTAGCCCTGGGCAATTTTCAAGGAAACTTAACAAAATAGTTATACATATAAAAAATGTAAGCCCAAATCTGAGACAGTAACTCTGATTTTCTAATCGTGAGGACGTGATGGTATCCCCTGCACCACGTGGACACAACACAGACACTGTTCACAAACGTTCTCCCAGAGAGCACAGTCGTTACCATTCCACCAGTGTGCAGACGGGCGTGGCTAGAGACTGCAGCATCAGTAGAAACTTCACCCGCATTTCATCTCCAAGTTATTGAGTACTGGAGTTTGTTTTTTTATGAAACAGAAGCTCAGTGTCTTCAAGTCTTGATTCTTTAATAATAAGCCATTTCAAAGCTCCAGGAGTTTTGAAGTGAACACGTCTCATCTGGTAGCCCCTCACCCCCAGCCTGCCAGAGTCTGCGCAAGTGAAACCTATGAGTCTGTCTTACCTGTAATCTGACTCTGTCCTTGTGGATTAAAAGGACTTGGTGCAGAGTTCAGGGAGGGCCGTGGGTTCTGAGGCGGGACACCTACTCTCATACTGGGATGAGGAATGCGCCCTAAATCACTGAGGCGGTCAGAGAACAAACTAGGTTTAGAGTCATCAAGCTTCTGTCTGTGCCCTGGAAACAGCAAATCATAAAATAAAAGCATATTAATTAGCTGAACAATTGACCATGCTAAATAGATATGTGAACATACATACGGGGGGGTTAGGCTGAGGAATTATCAATACTGGTATTCATAATGAAGTGTCTAGATAAAGCCTTCCATTTCAAATTGCTTTAGAAGCATCATCCAGTGGCAAGCATTCCTAGTTCTGTTCTGTAAGTGGAGAGCTGAGGTCCCAGAGGGTGACTCAGAGTCAAGCATCATAGGGAGCCCGGGACGCTGGGGCTCAAGAGGAACTCTCTGGGCCCCCTCCACCCTCTCTGCAAGCATGGCAAAGGTGAACTTGTTCTGGGCTGTGCCTTCTTGTTTCATGAAGGACAAAACCTCCCTGAAAGTTCATAGAGGCTGTGCTGTGACACTACTATCCCAAAATTGGGGCAAAAATAGAGACAAACAAATTCATCACAGGGAAATTTCCATGTTAATCATAGTGACTTTTTCTTTTTTATGTTACAATAAATACCTTACTGAGACTCTTTTCTGAAAAATTAAAATGCAATCCTAGAATCCCTTTAAGAGGAAAAAAAACAAACAAACAGAAATATAGGCCAAAAAAACTCAAACTCTCAAGAGGAATCTGGATATTTTTGTGATATGTCAAAGTCTGAAAGCATGTAATGAACTGTGTTAAATCACAGAGAATGCGTTTTTATTTTAAATCTAGTACTGTGGTTTTGTAAAAAAGAAAGAAAAATACCCTTTGAGTTACCATGTGAATATGAGAATCTATTATTTTAAAAAATAAACAACAAAAATAACTTTGTCTCTCTTCTAGTTTATTCAAGTCCAAAATCCAAGGAAATTCTAAATATTAAAAATAAATATACAAATTAAAAGATAACTAAGGTACTAAGAGTTCTTTATAAGGTTATCAAATCATGCTTAGTAAAGAGTATATAGTATTGTCTTGGTGCAACGTCAATGAAGTGTAAATCTATAGAGTGGTACTGTGGTGATCGAGTACAACAATGACTGATACATAAACAGAAATGTACTGTGGATTCCTTCTTCCATATACCAGTGAGGCCCAAGTATGCTGTCCCAACATTTTAGTAAAATGTTAAGTAACTGAAGCTGATTTAAAGAGCTGTTAAGAAGACTGGAATAACACTTTGCCTTTTGATTAAGAGAATGAGGATTAATATCCATAAAAGAAAAAAAAACCTTGAAGGAGAATTAACAATCTTCAAGTATGGAAGATACATTCTATGCGCAGCAAGAACACCTCATCTTCCACTTAGTACAGAACAAGAGGATTATATCAGGATAGGGTTAAGTTGAACATTAGAATTTCCCAACTATAAGCTGTCTTCATAAGACAAATTCCTTATTTTATTTGCCCCAAAATGTATTTTCCTGTCTCCTTTTTCATTGCCTACCCAGCCCAAAGAAAACAGACAGGAAGCCAAGGCTTGGTAATATGAGTGTAGCTGTCTCCACAGCCAAACATGTTCCAACTAGACCCATTAACTGAAATGCACCCACCACCCTGTTTCCTGCCAGTGCAAGTTTGGGGCATCTGCTATAACAGAGGGACTAAGACTAGGAGAAAAATGGTCCAAAAAAATAGGGAAACTCATTGTTTGTTGATGGTTGTTTTCCCCACCATTTATAGCTTTTTGTACAGATTACAAATAGATTTTTCGAACTCTAAAGAACCTTTAGAGATTATCCCAAACAGCTCCTAGACCTTGGCAAGTAAGGTGTTCATAGATGAAGTGACTGAGCCCTACAGAGAAACAACTACCCTATGGTCCTCAGATACTGACTAGCTCATCCTGGACTAGGATGCGGTTCTTGTCTTGGTTGACTAAGCTTTCCACTCATCACGCGGCTCTACCAATGTTGGCATTCTAGCTTGCTCTTCCCTTCCTCTCCCAGCTGCTATGGAGAACTAAAAAATATCCAGATTGGCAGAGTGAGACACCTCAGAACTAAGCCCTGTGAAGTGTCAAGGCTGGTTTTCAAAGCAAGTAGAAGCAGCAGCACGGATTCAATTACAAAGTTAATAGCTCACCCATTACCCTAAACAAACTTCCATCAATACATCTTGCTGTGTCTAACTAGTTTCACGATTAGGGAATTATATAGGACTTGTCACAGTTAAATCTGTGGATTCTGTTCCTCACACACATACAAAAAAAGTATTGGTGTGGTGTTGATACAGCTGTAAACATTAACAAGAAAGCTTATGGAATTGTCCCTGGAAGTTATTTTTTTTTAATAGGCCATATTTTTGGAATGGCAGATTCCCTGAGGGCTAAGGGGAAGGCTACATGATCTTGCATGGTTCCTTTATACAGTGGGACTTTATGTGGGCCATGGGTCACAAGAAAATTTAATAAGCTTTGCCTCTGCTTTCTACAGCCTTTTCATTAGGTTTTCATGGAGACCGTATGAGATTTGAGCTCAGTATATGGATGTGTGAGTACACTTTTATTTTCTCTTAGCCTAGTGCTTCAGGGGAGTAATAGGAGGTTATGGGCAAAACTAAAGGACTTTAGAAGCACTGATGAGTGTGAAAAATTTAAGAGCAGGTGACAGTTTAAAAGCCTCAGTGACCTTTTGGAAATTATCTTCGAAGATGAGCTACCAAGTATCTACAGACACCCTAGAATAATTCAGGGGTCGTCTATCTATAGCCGCATATATACAAAAAACATGCATTTTCCCTTGTATATATCTGCCCCTGCACAGCCACCACCGCAACCACAACACAATTCTTTCGGTACAATGAAGAACAAAAGCTGAACAGGTTGTCCATCTTTCAAGCATGACAAATACCCACTACCACTAAACCACATCAGGGTAACACTTGAATGAAGAAGATGTACTTAAATCCGCAGCACCCAAGCAATCCTCTCAGAAATCAAGAACAGGGAAGACAAAGGGCATGCTGACTTAAATTAGGGACAGGGTACTCTGCCATGGTGCAGGGGAACTAAATAAACCTCAACCAAAGAGCCAAAGACTGAATCTTCCAAGCACAACAAAAGTATAAAGAATGGAAAACTCATGTGTTACATTTAAGACTATGTAAAAGCTGGGTCCTCGACCCTCTTCTATAGGTGCACTTTCTCCCTTGAACAGTAGCTCTTCCATCCTACTGAATGAGAAAACCCTCTAGGGAGCTTTCAAAGTATGACTGTCCAGGCCTCTCTTCAGTTCAATTAAATCAGAATCTCTCTGAGTGGCTCCAATGGACAGCTGAGGTGAAGCGCCCACTATGATCTCATTTGCATACACTCAATGCCACCTATTCATGCCCAAGTTGCCCCATTTCTGGGGTGAGCCCTGACCTCTGTCTGAGTTCTAGGTTTGTGTATCTCACTGCCTGGTTGACTCTCCCCTGGGATGTCTCAAAAGTATCTTAAATGCAGTATATTTAAGACAAAATTCTTTAATCTTCTATCCAAAAAAAAAGAAACCCCAATTCCTCCCTAAGAGACCCCCTATCTCAATAAAAGTGGCACCAGCCACTCGGTCGCTTAAGACAAGTAGCTAGACATGTCCTCGGTTCCCCCTCATCCCTCACTCCGACATTCAACCCATTACCGAGCCTTGTCATTTCCATCTTGAAAGCATATCTCAAATCTATTCAGTTCTCTCATTTCCAACAGCACCACCCTACTTCCAAGAACCTATTATCTCTCTCTGGTCATCCGACACTGTATCCCCTTTCAGTTTCATATCCCAGGACTGTCCCACAGTCCTGAAATGCTCTCTCCTGATTCTTTGTACAACCCTCACCCTCCCATCCCTTGGACCTCAGGGTGAAGACCACCTCCTATGAGAGATCTTGCCTGCTTACTACACCCAAAGTAGACTTCCTCCCCTCAAGTACACCCTCTATTTATTTCCTTTATGGCTGTTACCACCATCTGTAACCAGCTTGTATATGTATTTGTCTCCCCTGCATGACTAAGTCCATGAGAATGAGCGCTCTGTCTTGTTTGCCGCTGTATCCTCAGACAGTTCAGTGCCTGCACATTCACTAGGTGCTCAATAAATATTTATGGAATGAATGAATGAATAAATATTTTTCTCTTTTAGATGAATGTCTCAGTTGAGAGAAAATTTTCTGGCCCAGAATATCGTATTACAAAACAATCTTTCCCCAAAAAACTCCTCTTCTAATTTGGCAATCTAGTGGATCCAGTGGGCAAAGCCCTTCTTTAGTGATCGGCCTTTATTAGAGGTCACTAGAAGGACATTCAAGTGAAAGCTTGTTTTCTTTCTGAAAAACTCCCATTTGTTCTCACAATAGTTCTTAAGCATTGTTGCAAGTCATAGCAAATTATAGGGTTAAAAATGACAACAGAAATAATTTAGACTCCACATTTTAGAGCAATGCACTTCTTGTATGGATGAGGACCCTGAGTCCCTAAGAGGGGAAGTGACTTACCCAAAGCTACATAGTTAGTGGCAGGATTAGAACTCGGGTTTTTTGACTGTTGATCCAGGACTCTTTTCCCTCCCATTGCCAACAAGCTTATTTTAGATTATAACAGTGTGGTCTTAGTCATTCAGGGGAAATCATGATCAAAAGTGAATTTAAAATGGAAAAAAAACAGAATTTTCTCAAAAAGTTTAGTGTGTTTGGCTGAATATGACTTCTGTTGCAATAAATTCAGGGGCACAAGAAGAAAGCATGATCCAAAGGTCACCGCATTCACACATCCTTAGAGCAAAGACCTATGAGGAACTGCTAAGCCATTAAGCAATAGTCCATCTAATTGACCTATTCTCCCCTCCCAGCTCTTTTAGTCTAAGGGCAACTATCTCACAATGAAAGTTAATAATACTGCCATTAGAACTTCTGATTTAAAAAATCATACATCTGAAACTGGTGCATGAAAATTGTGGTATGTGAATTATGAAAATAAACTTGCCACTGCAATGTGACCCATTATGGCCATTTTTGTGAAGCTGACTGAGAACAGCTTCACAG